CCCAAGTAATCATTGTTCTGACTTTTAACACTATAAATTAATGTTGCTTGTTTTTGAATTTTATGAATAGAATCATGCAGCAAACACTCCTTTGTATCTGGTTTGTTTCATTACCCTTATGTTTAAAATTTTCATCTGTATTGTTGTATATGGTAATAGTTTTTTCTTGCTATGTAGGATTCCATTTATTATGTATGGCCACAGCAGTTTATTATTCATTCTGTGGTGAGTGGATACTGCAATTATTTCCATTTGGGGGCTATTATGATTAGTGTTTTTAGGTGTTTTCTTGTACATGTTTTTTTGGTAAACATTCCTGTGCATTTTGTTAGTATACACTTAGGAATGGCAGAGCCATACAGTTTGTTTACCTTTTGTAAATACATCCCAGGTATAGTCATACCACATTTTATACACTGTGCTTTATTGCACTTCGCTGATACTGCATTTTTTTTACAAATTGAACATTTGTGGCAGCCCTGCATTGAGTGAGTCTTTAAGCACCATTTTTCCAACAGCATTTGTTTATTTCATGTTCTCTGTGTCACATTATTATATTTATTATGGTGATCTCTGATCAGTGATCTTTGGTGTTACTATTGTAATTGTTTGGGGGTGCCGTGAACCATACCTATGTAAGACCACAAACTTAATAAATGAGTGTGTTCTGACTACTCCACCTTCCAGCCATTCTCCTATATCTCTCCTCCTCCTTCTCTTTGGGCCTCTCTATTCTTTGAGACATGGCAATATTGAAATTAGGCCAATTAATAATTACCCTGTAGTGGCCTCATAAGTGTTCAGTGGGAAGGAAAAGTCACACATCTCTCACTTTAAATCAAGAGCCAGGAATGATTACAATTAGTGAGGAAGGCATTTCGAAAGCCATGATGACTGAAAGCTGTCATGTAACTGTAAGCCATGTTGTGAGTGCAAAGGAAAAGATCTTGAAGGAAATTAAAAGTGCTACTCCAGTGAATACATGACAGCCTTTTGCTCAAACAGAAAAAGTTTTAGTGGTCTGGATAGAAAATCAAACCAGCCACAACATTCCCTTAAGCCAAAGCCTAATCCAGAGCAAGACCCAAACTCTCTTCAATTCTGTGAAGGCTGAGAGATGTTAGGAAGCTGCAGAAGAAAAGTTGGAAGCTAGCAGAGTTCTAAGGGAAGAAGCCATTTTCATTACATTAAAGAGCCAAGGTGAAGCAGCAAGTTATCCAGATCTAGCTAGGATCATTACTTGAGATAGTTACACTAAACAACAGATTTTCAATAGAGGTGAAATGACTTTTCTCATACAATCCATCTAGTCTTTTCATAGCTAAAGAGAAGTCACTGCCTGGCTTTAAAGCTTCAGAGATTCTCTTGTTAGGGGCTAATACAGCTGCTGACTTTAAGTTGAAGCCAGTGCTCATTTGCCATCCTGAAAATCATAGAGCCCAGAAGAATTATGCTAAATCTGCTCTGCCTGTGGTCTATAAATGGAACAGCAAAGCCTGATGACAGCAATCTGTTTATACCATGGTTTACTGAATATTTTAAGCCCATTGTTGAGACCTACTGCTAAGAATAAAAGACTGGTTTCGAAATATTACTGCTCATTGACAACGCACCTGGTCACCCAGGAGCTCTGATAGAGATGTACAATGAGATGAATGTTGTTTTCAATACAACATCCATTCTGCAGTCTGGGGATCAAGGAGTAATTTTGACTTTCAAGTCTTACTATTTAAGAAATAATTTTGTGAGGCTGTTTAACTGCCATACATAGTGATTCCTATGATGGATCTGGGCAAAGTCAGTGGAAAACCTTCTGGAAAGGATTCACCATTCTAGGTGCCATTAAGAATATTCATGATTCATGGGGAAGAGGCCAAAATATCAGTATTAACAGGAGTTTGGAAAGAAGATTCCAGTGCTCATGGATGACTTTGAGGGACTTAAAACTTCAATGGAAGAAGTCACTGAAGATGTGACTGAATTGCTGTGATCTCATGATAAAAATTGGATGAGGGGCTGCTTCTAATGGATGAGCAAGGAAAGTGGTTTCTTGAGATGGAATCTACTGGTGAAGATGCTGTGGAAATTGATGAAATGACAACAAAGGATTTAGAATATTATGCAAACTTAGTAGATAAAGCAGCAGCAGGGTTTGAGAGGATTGACTCCAGTTTGGAAAGAAGTCCTGTGGGTAAAATGGTTTCAAACAGCATCACTTGCTACAGAGAAATTGTTTGTGAAAGGAAGATTTGATCCATGTGGCAAGCTTTGTTATTGTCTTATTTTAAGAAATTACCAGTCACCCAACCTTCAGCAATCACTACCCTGATCAGTCATCAGCCAAAACATGGAGGCAAGACCCCTCCACCCAGCCAAGGATTATGACTCGCTGAAGCTCAAATGACGTTTATTAGTATTTTTTAACAATGACATATTTTTAGTTTTTTAAAAAAAAAATTTTAATTTTATTTTTGAGAGATAGTGAGAGCAGGGAAGGGACAGGGAGAGAGGGAGACACAGAATCTGAAGCAGGCTCCAGCCTCTGAGCTGTCAGCACAGAGCCTGACATGGAGCTCGAACTCAAGAACCATGAAATCATGACTTTAGCCGAAGTCAGACGCTTAACTGACTGAGCCACCCAGGTGCCCCACATGAAGTATTTTTAAATTAAGATATGTACATTTTTTAGGCACAATGTTATTGTGCTCTTGATAGGCTATACTATAGTATAAATATAACTTTTATATGTACCAGGAAACCAAAAAGTTCATTTGATTCACTTTATTGCTATATTCACTTTATTAGTGTGGTCTGGACCTCAACCTGCAGTATCTCCAAGGTATGCCTATATATCAAAGTAGCTGCCCCAGTTTATATTCACCAGGAGTGTATGAGAGTTCTGGTGGGTCCACAACCTCATTAAGGACAGTACTGCTCCCCATTTGAGATTTGTCAGCATTGATGTTTTAGCCATTCTAATCGTATATGATGGTATTTCCTTGTGGACTAATTTGCATTTCCCTGGTGTCTAAGATTGAGCAACTTTTCACATGTTTAGTGGCAGTTTGTGATGTGTTGTTCGAGTCTTTTGCCTCTTTTTTTTTTTTTTTTTTTTTTTTTTGATAGTTTGCCTTTTTCTTATTGGTTTGTATGAGCATTAGGTATTAGTCCTCTGTCAAATACATGTGTCATAGTTGTTTTCTCCCTGTCTCTTTTGCCTTTTCACATTTAAATGCTGTCTGCCAATGAACAAGAGGTCTCACCTTTGTTGTTATTAATGTAGTCCAATTTATATTTTTTTCCTTTATGGTTAGTACTGTATTTATTGTGGCCTGTTGAATAGTTTGATTAGATCATGAAGGTGTTCTTGTTTTCCTCCAGAAGCTTTATTGTTTTAATCAATTTGGGTTCTGATACCTGATTTTTGGTTCTTATTCCTTTCACTATTTCTATAAATTTTTGTATATGAGGGTGTTTTGTTTTTATGTATTACACAGACGAGTTATAGTTTCTTTATATATATTTTATATATTTTCTTTACTTTTTCTTCTTAGGAGTTGGTTTATATAAGCTTATTCCACATGAAAAATACAGTTTAATCTGTATTTACTATCTTTATACAGATTTTTAAAGCCTGTTTACTTTAAATACAGAAAGAAGAATTCTTTACTAGTACTGCAACATTTAAACATATCACCGTATTTTCTTTTCTCTGTCCATATAAACACACACATAATTTGTATTTTTGCTCAGCCATTTGAAAGAAACTGGCAGGTAGTTCTTTCTCCTATGTGAACATATCTCCTATGTGAATGTAATGCCAGTATTGTCTGTAAATTTGTGTGTAAATAAATTTGTTTCATTGCTCTCTGGATCCTAGAACTAACCCAGCAGACAAGCATTATCGGGTACCAAAGATTTAATATTCATTTATCCATCAAAGAACTAATTCAGGAGGTGCCTGGGTGGCTCTGTTAGTTAAGTGCCCAACTCTTGATTTCAAGTCAGGTCATGTTATCATGATTCATGAGTTCGAGCCCCGCCTCGGACTCTGCACCGACAGCACAACGCCTGCATGGAATTCTCTCTCTTCTTTCTCTGCCCCTCCCCTGCTTGTACACACTCTTATCTCCAAATAAATAAAAGAAACTTAAAAAAAAAAAAGCTAATTCAGAAACACTAAAATACAGAGGCAGCTAGAGTGCACTGAAGTCTGTGGCAGGTCCAATAAGTTAAACATTGAAGTTTGAAAAGTACAGGATTGTTCCTGGTCCTTCTGGGGCACTTTATCCATTTCCTTACCAAATCCTAGGTTACTTTGAATTACAAAATAAGAAAATAGATTCTTACTTACCATATAATTATATTCATTAATGTTAGATTCTGTGTTTATGTATTAAATTTGTGTGTTTGTTAAATATTTATGCATTAAAAATCTATAAGCCTAAAGCATGTTTTAGAGTATGGTTTCACTAAGTTTAAGAGTAATTAAACACTGGGAGGGAGGATGGGCTAAATGGGTAAGGGGCATTGAGGAATCTACTCCTGAAAATCGTTGTTGCACTATATGCTAACTTGGATGTAAATTAAAAAAATGAAGTTATATTAAAAAAAAGTAAACACTTTTCAGAATGTCTGGCCCATAAAGAAAACTTAAATACTTGCCTCAATTAACTAAAGATTCTTATTCTTAACATGGTGAAAAAGAACACTGAATAAGGACTCATATCTAATTTCGGAATAAAGCTCAAGCTTCATCTCTTTGACCATTTGTGAAGTTAGGAATATGTACTGAATGGTCTCCAATTAGCAGTAACATATTTACTACTACTATATATAATTAATGAATTATAAAATTTTAGTGTTTAATAATTTATAATTTTAATATTTTATATTTTAATTCTACCTAAACAGGAAATTTAAAACCTTTTTTCTTAATGGTCATGCTGAAAAAAAGACATTTCTTTTGATGCCAGGATTTGAACTTTTTTTCACTTCAGTTCAATTATCGACGCCATAAGAAGAGATAAAGCATCTCAAGCATAATCTTGAAAGAGTGGAAGGAGAAAGAAAAGAAGCTCAAGACATGCTTAATCACTCAGAAAAGGTAAATGACTTAACGTGTACCAATTTTGAGATATATGTACTTGGCTACCAAATACTATAACATGTTTTTTTGTTGTGGCCTTCATTCTTCTGATGTTTCATATTGTTTGCTTTTTTTTTTTTTGAGAGAGCAAGAGCATGTGTACATGAACAGGGGAGAGGGGCAGAAGGATGGAGGGAGAGAGAGAGAGAGAGAGAAAGAGAGAGAGAAAGAGAAAGAAAGAAAGGGAGGGAGGGAGGAAGGAAGGAAGGAAGGAAGGAAGGAAGGAAGGAAGGAAGGAAGAATCTTAAGCAGGCTTCACACCCAGTGAGGAGCCGGCTGTGGGGCTCGATCTCATGACCATGAGATAATGATCTGAGTGAGCCAAATCAAGAATCGGACCTTTTACTGACCGAGCCACCCAGCCACACCTATATACTTGCATTTCAAAAAATTTTTATAATCAGTAGTGGTTTTGTGGGAGTGTGTGTATGTGTCTTACTTAGGACTTTTTATTGTGTTATTTTTGTTTGTTTTTAACTTTGAAGGGTATTAGATGTTTCCTATTATCGAATCATCACAAATTACTTTCATTTGGAAATATCTTTTCATGTAGAATTTTTTCCCCCAGTTTTTTGTACTTGGGTAAAATGAAGATGCTGAATGTTACTAGCCTTATGAAGAAGGGAAACAAAGGATAGGTATATGGTAGACCACGTGTGCTTTTTCCATTTTGTTGGTAAGAGTTAGCAAAATAGAAAATAGCATAAAGTGATTGGCCCTTGCGTATAGTTTTCTTACCAGTCAAAAACTGTCATTGGTTATCCTCTGTCCTTACCTTGCTAAGAAAAGTATTAAATAGATAATATGTAGATCTAACTTTCACTTTTTCACTTCCTCCCTAAATGTGGGTTTACTAGATCCTCAGATAAATGATCAGAAAATGTACCACTTATCTGTCCTTTGGACATGTTTTGTAATAGAGTAGTATGTCTAAGCCTGGTATAACTGTGGATGTAGGATGAAAGAAAGAAGAGTAGAAGATGCACCCAAACAAATGGAATACATTTTGACTTGTCCTTTAGTCAAGGCAATGTAAATCTGGGTGTACATTTAATTTAACTGTAAATTAATAGTTTTAAATCTGAATTTAATTTTTTGTAAGCGGCAGCAAAAATGTTTTAATGAATTAAAGAATTGTCCTAGGGGCGTCTGGGTGGCGCAGTCGGTTAAGCGTCCGACTTCAGCCAGGTCACGATCTGGTGGTCCGTGAGTTCGAGCCCCGCATCGGGCTCTGGGCTGATGGCTCAGAGCCTGGAGCCTGTTTCCGATTCTGTGTCTCCCTCTCTCTCTGCCCCTCCCCCGTTCATGCTCTGTCTCTCTGTCCCAAAAAAAAAAAAAAAAAAAAAACGTTGAAAAAAAAAAAAGAATTGTCCTATTCATTTCTGATTCTAGCAGTAAACCCTCCTGAATACAACTACCACCAAAACCCTTCTGGGGGAAGGAGGTGGTGATATTTTGCTTTTAATTATATGTGCTTATCATGATTTTTAAAGTAAGACATGATAATGTGAAATATACAAGAAAGTATAAATGTTCTAAATAAAAATATTTAAGTAAATACAGTATCACATTTCAGGCCAGTGTGATTCATATATTGTCTGTTATGGAATATTACATAATGTAAGATTTAATAATGTGTCTTTTGCTTAGTGTATTACATTTTCATTTTCATTTTACAGGAAAAGAATAATTTAGAGATAGATTTAAACTATAAGCTTAAATCATTACAACAAAGGTTAGAACAAGAGGTAAATGAACATAAAGTAACCAAAGCTCGTTTAACTGACAAACATCAGTCTATTGAAGAGGCAAAGTCTGTTGCAATGTGTGGTAAGTGTTGGTTTTCATATTTTCTACATGAGTAATTTTTAAATAATGCCTACCAAAAAAACTGGTTTTGTTTAAAATCTCACTTCATAGTAGTATAAACACTTAAAAATTATAAATTGTCATTCAGTAAAAGGATTCTCCCTTTTTCACTTTGGATACCTTCCATTTTTTTAAATCACAATTTTACCTTCTATTTCCCTCACTCTATTATCCTCCATTCTCTATCAATATCAGTAGAATCTCTCTTTTCTCCCAGTTTTTATTAGCCCTTTCCTTTATTTTCTTCCTGATCCATTCTGAAAATCATTGTCTGTTAGTTCATCTTCTTTCTTGTTTAGTACCCTCAATTTTCCAATTCCTTTGTGTTTCCACTTTACTATGACTCTAAACACAACCCTAGATCAAACTAATGAGTTCCTTTCTTCACATCAGATAAGTTCTTCAGAGAGGGTTAGCCCAATGCATTATCTCCAACCTCCGGCGAGCTGTTAGTTTTTTAGTATATCACTCACTGTTTTCCTTCTCTCAGACTTTTACTTCTCAAGCTTTGTATGTCATTTCTTTATCCATCTACTTTTAGGTGAACTTTTCTCCTATTTGAAAAAGAAATCATGAAAGGATAGGTGTGAATGCCTCAAAGTCTTGTTCTCTTACTTAATCAATCTACCCTACTTCTTTACCCATCTTCATTTTCTTTCCTCTCAGAAGATATTGATCCTCGGGGCACCTGGGTGGCTCAGTCGGTTAAGTGTCTGACTTCTGCTCAGGTCATGGTCTCACAGTTCACGGGTTCAAGCCCTGTGTCAGGCTCTGTGCTGACAGCTCAGAGCCTGGAACCTGCTTGGGATTCTGTGTCTCCCTTTTTCTGCCCCTCCCCTGCTCGCGCTCTGTCTCTCTCAAAAGTAAATAAACATTAAAAAAAATTTTTTAAAGATATTAACCGTCTTCTTGTTTGACTAATATGTGCTAGCTGTACTCAGATCTAGTTGTGAACTTTCTTGTTGTGAACATGTCCAAGTCTCTTCCATTATACATAGATAGATAGATAGATAGATAGATAGATACATAGATAAAATTTTTTGAGCATGTGGGATGCCTGGGTAGCTCAGTCAGATAAGCATCCAGCTTACCTTCAGGTCATGATCTCGTGGTTTATAAGTTAGAGCCCCATGTCAGGCTCTGTGCTGACAGCTCAGAACCTGGAATCTGCTTCAGATTCTGTGTCTCCATCTCTCTCTGCCCTTCCCCCGCTCAACGCTCTGTGTGTGTGTGTGTGTGTGTGTGTCTCAAAAATAAACATTAAAAAAATTTTTTTAATTTTGTGAGCATGTGCAAGTCTCTTCCTTTATAAACAAACAAATAAATAAATAGACAAACCCTTGCAGTAATCTCTGATCCTTACTAACTGCCACTGTTTTATTCCATTTCTTTATAGCCAAACTTTTAAAAAGAAGAGTTTGCCTTTTTTCACCTTGCACTTACTTTGTAACCTGCTACAATCTGGAAGTGTCACTTAACACTTTAAATTCTGCTCATTCAAGGGGAAACTTAGGATCCTATCTGTCAGACCTGCTTTAATCTCTTATTCTCATGATCCTAGTTAATGGCTGTATAGTTTTTAGCAGCCCAGGCTTGGAATCAAACAAATCTGTTTTGCCTCTTACCTACTCTGTGATTATTAAAAAGACATTAGATGGAAAAAATGCATATAAAGTGCCTGTACATAGAAGGCTTTTAATAAATGGGAAATACTGTTATGGCTAAGGGTGGTGGTATTTAGCATCCAGGTATCCAAACCAGAAATCTGGGAATCATTCAGCAATTCTACTTCCAAATGATATATACAACATATTCCTCCTTTCCTTTTCTCTTTTAGTTCATGGTGACATCATCATTTGCTTGATCTGTTTAATTATTACTCTGCCAGTTGTTCTGCTCATCAATCTATTGTTCTCATTTAAGCCAGAATGATCCTTTTGAAATTTAAATCTTACTGTGCCAGTCCTTTGTGGCTTTTCATTGTTTGCAAGGCACCCGTCAAACTCCTCAGGACATAAAGAGCCTTTGAGTTGGCACTTACCCATCTTTATAGTCTTACTACTCTGCACTTTGTTATGTGTACTTCACATAACTGGTGTGCTTCAGCCATATTAAACTACTTTTGTTTCTTTCACGTACATTACTTGTTGACTGCCTACTATAGGCCAGGCACACCTGGGAATATATAGCATAGAATAAGACAAGAATCCTTCCTCTTAGAGATTATTTTCTGATGGTAGAGATAATCAAAAAAAGCAAATAAATTAAAATCAGGGCAGATTGTAATTATTAATATGAAGAAAATACATACAGTGTGATAGTTTCTAAGTATTGCTATGTTAGATGGGGTTCTAAGGAAAGGCCTCTCTGAACTAATAATATTTGAGGCAAAGTGAACCGTCCAGGAGAAAGTATGTTCCAGGCAGAAGAGATGATAAGTTCAATACTCTTATTCTAAGAATAGTGGGAAGCCATTGTAGTGTTTTGAGCTGTGCTGACATGTGTAACATAGGTTTTTGAAAGACCACTCCTGCTGTATGGAGAATGCTTTTGAGAGAGAACAGTTTAAAAATGGAGATCAACTAGAAGGCTATATAGTGTGTAGGGATTAGTGGTAGTAGAACATGAAAGAAATGTAGATACAAAGGGTAAGAGGGTAAGAGTTGGTGATGAATTGGATGGAAATTAAAAAAAGGAACCAAGAAAGGCTCTGGCTCTTTTTTTATGGGGGGGGGGGGCTTTTTAATTTTAACAACTGGATGGATGTTAATATGTTTTGACATTGAGATGACTGGGATGGGATGAGTGGTTTGCGATGGGAGGGAAATAAAGGTGTCTATTTTAGAAATGTTAACTTTGAAAAGCGTGTTAGATATCTAGGTGGAGATGTCAAATATATATGAGTCTGGAGCTCAGAGGAGAGCAAGAGTTATACAGTCATGCACAGAACCTCCTAAGGGGAAATAGGGCAGAATAGAAATGGAATCATATCAGAGCCCTTGGGTAGTCTTAACATTTTCCAAATGTTACAAAGGAAACCAATAACAGTCAAAGGGGGTTGCAGGAATACCAAGTAAGTATGGTGTTAGAATTTCAAAGAGTAAAATATTGAAAAAAAATGAGGAAGTTATTCAATATACGGAATTCTATTAAGGTCAGTAAAGATGAAGACCCAGACATTTGTGTGTCTTCTGAATTTTGCAGGATGGACCTCACTCACTGGTTATCATACAAAGCAGTTTCAGTGGAATGGTGGAGATGGAGGCCAAAAGGGAAAGTAGTAAATGTATAGTAGATGAGGCACTGGAGACAGGAAGTTCTTCCAGAAGTTTCTGAACAGAGATGGAATAGTAGCTAAAGAGGAATGTGAGAGCAGTAGAGGATATTTTAGGAAGGGAGATAATAAATGAGATTATTATGTTGGTGAGAATGATTCAGTTAGGAGAAGGAAATTGTTGAGGCAGGGAAGAAATGAAATAATTGAAGGAATAAAGTCCAGAACAGAAGTGGATAGATTTGTGTTTGATTAGAGATGGGAATTAAGAGGCAATGATTACTGGTATGGCTAAGTTTGTAGGTTTGGAGGGAAAGATGAGGAAGTTCCATTCTAATGGTTTCTATTTTGTTACCTAGAGGGCAGTCTCCAAGAATGGAAAAGCAGACTTACTAAGTTTGAATCATGTCTGTACAACTTAATAGTTGCAGGACCTTGGAAAATTGAATGTTTCAGAACCTTAGTTACCATATCTCAAAAAAGGAGCCTCACTATAGACTTTTATCTTTTGATAATAATTAAAGTGGGTCCTATACTACTGTGGAATCTTGTTTGTCTGAATTGCAAAAATTAGAATTCCTATCAGCCTTAAGTCCCTTGAAACTTTTCTGGAACAATGTAAGGTATAGATTAATAACCACAGCCTTATTTCTCTGCTTTTATCTGAACTACCTCCATTTTTCTTTTTAGTTACTTCATTTTTTTTCTTCTAGTTATATTTTCACCTTCTGGTCTAGAAATGGCACTTAATAATTTCTCATAACATTGGGCGTGGGCTGGATTTAGAAGGTTTTATTCTACTTTATTTTATAACTCCTTTCGTTTAGAGATCCTACTATGCAAATAATTCAAATGACATTAGGACTTCTGTAATAAATTGTTCCATTAGAATCCCAGGATAAAAACAGTAGGGATTTTTGACACCAGTTTGTCTTATAGAGTCCATGCAAGTGAAAGTATGTATGTCTGTAACTTTTTTTTTTTTTCCTCACAGAAATGGAAAAGAAGCTGAAGGAAGAGAGAGAAGCTCGAGAGAAGGCTGAAAATAGAGTTGTTCAGATTGAGAAACAGTGTTCAATGCTAGATGTTGATCTGAAACAATCTCAGCAGAAGCTTGAGCATTTGATTGAAAATAAAGAAAGGATGGAGGATGAAGTAAGAAAAATAGTATTGATTTTGTTGATCTTATAAAAGAGAAGTAATCATAAATTATAAGTGAAAAGTTATCTATAATTTAAAAAACATGGAGGAGATTTGAATAAAATAACCTGTATGTGTATGTGTTTACTGCTATAAAGCCACCACTGTATCCTTCCTTCCTAGGATTTTTATCTACAGATAGTTGCTGAACAGTCACACCATAGGATTTATACTATTTTGCACTATGACAGTACAACTCTATAGAAGTGTCATAGCTCCTCTTCTGAAGAAATTGCATCTGCTTTTTAAAAACACACACACACAAAAGTTTATTGTAAAGTTCTCTTGTAATCTCAAAGAGGAGAAATTGCTCTTAGATCTCAAGAAAAATGTTAACTACAGAGTCTTGACTGGCTTAGATTGATTGAAAACACAGGGTACACATTTACAAAGCAATAAATAAAAGATAAAATGCCATTATATCCTTGTGGTTATTATATGTATTTTAAAAATCACTTATAAGACTGGAAGGAATCAGTCTGCATATATGTTAGAAAAGGGAGAGAGAGAAAACCAGAATAATCAGGAAAGACTTCTTACAGGAGGAATGAGATATTTCCATTATTTAAAGATTGAGTAAGACCTCGAAAGTTCACAGTTTGAGAGTCAGAAGCTAGAGTTGATAGAGAGGGAACATTATCAATAATGATGATAGTAAAAGAGTGATTAGTGAATGAAGATAGGTAAGTGAAAGACAAGGACTTGATCTGACCAGAGAAGAAAAGACATATTGTATAGTCATGGGAAACTTGGGAACCAAAGTATTGATAATGATTTAAACTTAAAATGGGATGCTGTAGGTGAAAATACTCTTTTAGAAAATAAAATTAGTCTGGTAGTGTTCTATAGAATGAGCAAGAAAGAAAAGAGATTTAGCAGATACCTGTTATAGCCAACATGCAGGAAGAAAGTATGTTGAAAATTTGGAAGACCATACTCAGTCATTTCAAAATGTAATTTTTGAGCACCTTTTATCTTCCCGGCTCTGCTGGGAGTTGGATTACTGCGTAAGATAGATACGTTCTTGACTTTTGTGGAACTTCGAGCCCAGAAGGAAAGACAGATATTAAGATCAAAATTACAAGCATGACATTTATTTAAAGAGGAAGTACTGAATGCTGTAGGAGTGTTATGAGTAATTACATCCAGGGGTTAAGGAAGGCCTCACTAAACTTCAGAGGGTTATAGACCAGAGCACAAACATTTATGAATCAGAAAAGGTGAATTTAAATACCCCTTATGTCCCTCCAAAAGTGGCTTTTATAGCCATTCTCTACTCTAAAATTTCTGTACATGTTGGGACCGAAAGAAACCAGATTTTTTTCCTCCAAGATCTCATGTCTGAAATTTGGGGATTAATTTGACTTAATAGTAAGTTCTATAGTTATAAATAACATGTCAACAATGGAGACTCTTTAGAATACTAATATTCTCTGTATAAGGCAGTATAGCACATTTGAGATTTGATTGATATTCTTTCAAATAGTGTTTACTAAATTATTAGTGAGATTTAAGACTGCAATTATTTTTCTTATTCATAGGTTAAGAATCTATCCCTGCAACTGGAGCAGGAATCAAATAAGCGAGTATTGTTACAGAATGAATTGAAGACTCAAGCATTTGAAGCGGACAATTTAAAAGGTCTAGAAAAGCAGATGAAACAGGAAATAAATACTTTATTGGAAGCAAAGAGATTATTAGAATTTGAGTTAGCTCAGCTTACAAAGTAAGTCTCAAAAATAACATTTTTTTGTTTCTTTTTTGTGTTCTGCATTTGCTTATGTTTGATATTTTATATGTGTAGAAATAATATATTTGCAATTTGTGAAAGGAAGACTTAGGAAAAAAGCATTTAGAAAAAAGAATTTACTTGCAAAGGTTTGCAAGGGAGCCTTACTGAATAAAAAGTAGAGATCTTTAAAGGGAGAAAAAAGGAGATTATCAAGGCCACTGACTTTACAGTAAGTCCATTTATGGTGGAAAAATTAGTTTTCTCATGATTTTCATACCGACAAAAGGCCTGTTTCTTCACACTAGAATTACAAAAATCAGGAATAAACTTTTTTATTAAGTATTCAGTGTCTCATGGGAAATGTTCAGTATTTCTTTATTTTAGAAACTAGAGTTAGACATGATGACCCTATGTTTTGTTTTGTTCCTTTGGTTCATCTCAGAATGCAAAGTACCTTTTTTCTTCTACTCTGAAATGTGATGTGTCCACTTATTTGAAGTGGAGATGATGCAAGGTTTCATTATTGCTTTCAGAATTTGTATAAAGACATGCTTCAAAATTTAATGTCAAAGATTAGTATATTTTATACCAAGTCACGTGTTTTTATTTTCTCTAGATTTATGTGATAATACCTTCATTTGCCAGCTTCATTTACAACATAGTAATTCTTGGGTAAAATTGTCAGTTTTTGTTTTGTTGGATTTATATTGGCAAAATTCTTTTCTCCCTTTTAGAGCCTTCATTTTCGCATTATGTGTTCTGTAGTTTTCTTCTCCCAGAATAACTTTCACTCAGCATTCAGTGAACACTTATTATGTCCTTTTATCAACTATATGCCTTGTTAGATGCTGAAAATACAAATCTATCACTATCTAAAATGAAAACCCAGCAGATGCAGATGGAATTGTTTATCCTTGAAAATATGTAACCGGGAGTTACATTGTGTTTCTGTCTTGTCTGTTTCTTTGTGAATTGTGTTCATGTGTGTATTATATATATGTAGGTGTGTCTGTGTTCCTCCTCCTTTGTCATGTATTGTTCTTGCCTTCTTTCTCGTTCCTTACCTGGTTTTTTATTTCCAGCCCCACCTCCATGCTTCATTGGCCATAATGTATGGTATTATATGTATATATAATGTATGGTATGTATAATATTATTTGTGAATATTTTCGTGTGCCCTGTTTTTAATCGCTTACTATACTACATGTGACATTTAAGGTTTATTCCTAAGGATGCTTTTCTCTACTAAAACTTATAAAATATCATTTTTATTTTTGCAACTTGGATTAATCCACAATGAATATTCTCCTGAAAGTGACCTTCAGTAAAAAACAGTTCCCTCTACTTTATATAGTAGGAGCAAAATAGAATGAGACAGTGTGGCCTGACCAAATATGAATATTAAAGTAATACTGTATAGTGAATTATGATTTTTAAAAACAAAGGTTATTTTAGTAAACGTTTTTATTTTTAGCAACTTTAATAAATAAAGAATAATACAAAGTATAGAATAAATAGCATTCATTTATTATTTTCTCTTTTACCTGAAGACAGTATAGAGGAAATGAAGGACAGATGCGGGAGCTACAAGATCAGCTTGAAGCAGAGCAATATTTTTCGGTAAGAATCATTTTTAACACTTGGCTTAAAATTAGGTATTTAGATTTTTAATGTGAACTGACTTTTTTTCAAATGACCGTGAAGTGGTTTTCTCCCCCTTTTCGTGTCCCCATCTCTACATTTCATTTCTGAATCTGAGTTCGTGCTCTATGTAAGTTGTAAAGAAACTTAACGTTTTTGTGAAACATTTCTAAAATTGCCATCAAACTAAAGCTGTATGTAAGACTTTGTTAAGGGTTTTGTTTGCCTGTTAGCAAACTTGGGTATTTTCATATGTGGTTCATGTATGCATGTTCCATTTGCAGGTATAACTGCATACAGTTATAGATATAACTATGCTCAAAAGGGTTTTT